TAAGGCAGAATTTGTGTATAATATAATGTTTCTGCGGCTGTTTTAACAGAAAGTTCATGTTTTTCAGCAGCTCTACACACCCAGATGCTCTGGAGTTGTGTCAAATTGTTCAGTTTTACTTTCTGTCATTCCACACATCTATTTTATCTTAGTTTGTTGTTTTCTTTTTCAGGGAAATTTTGATGTAAATTCAGAATACTTAAACATATTCTCTCTATTGAATAATGCCTTTGAATAGTAATAGAATCCATAGGAAATGCGTGGCTGCCTAATCCTACTCTTAAGCCCCTCCTCTCCGGCTGCACCTGTCAGCCCAGGGCAGCCTCAGGTACCCGCACAGCGGCTCAGCGCTTCCTTGGGATGTAGGTTTACAGGCGACCGGCACATCCATGAGTGTCACAACTTCTGCTTCTATGACTGGCATGTTTTCTGTCAGGACAACTCTTCTCGAATTCCACATTATCAAATCTCTCCATAAATTTTTCCAGATTCTCATTTTCACCCCGTGTACTGACTTCAGGTCAAGGAACTTTTTCTTCTCCTCACATTTAGAAAGAATATATTTTAATTTAGAGTAATATTTCTTTTAATATGTAGATGAAACCAGAGACTAATCACTTTGTGTCCAAATGAAATAAATACAATAGTGAATTTGCATTCGTTTATATTTCTATTTGTATTTTAAAGAATCTCTTTTTTATAAAGTGAGTGAACTTTTGGCTATGGTTCTCTGTTATGAAATATAAAACCTGAGAAATCCAAATGTAATGGTGGAAATTAACATATTTTTATTTTCAGATACCCAGTTTGTTGTAATAAATGAAAATCATTGCAATTAAAAGGAATTATTTGCATTAACTATAAAGGTCTAAATAGGAAACTCTTTAGCAAATGACTATAATACTTTCTTGCTCTCGAATATTAGTAATGAGGCTTAAACAATGACACATTTGTGTGTGTATAAAATAGAGATATCAGCCTAGTAACATAATGCATTTTAAAATACAATTCTATTAATATTAGAAATCTTTTCTTTAAGGAATGGTGTGTTTTAAAATGTGCTTTAAATTTTAAACGTTGCTATTAGTTATATCCTGTGGATGTTTTGAGGCTAAACGATGTCTTGGAAACCACTTTAGCCCAGTCCTACCTGGGTCAGTTTCTTGTTCTTTGGTCAGAAACAGCAAGCGCTGACTCCGACTAAAGTGGGAATGATTTTATTGGACGTGCATTAGGTAACTAGCTGCATTTAGGGGAGAACTGGTTCAGAAGAAAAGGACAAGCCATGGGGACATGGGACGTTGGACTGGGTCTGGGCAGCAAGGTCTCCTTGAGACTCCTCTCAGGGCGTTGCTGCCAGGCTGCTTGAGAGCCAGCACCTCTGACACTTCTGTGTTTCTTGCCTCAGGCTTCAAAATCTTGGGAGAAAAGCCAGTGGCTTAGTTTTGGTCACTGACCCACCCCTTGGCTAGAAAATCTTTGACATCAAGTCCAACCTAGAGGACACGCAATGAGGGACAAGTCTTTTCCAAAAGTGCTGGGCGGACCACGTCCAACCAGCGCAGCCCCCGCCCCCTACCCCAAGGGTGGGGAAACAAGGCTCAGAGAGCAGATTTCTGCCTTTCTGTCCCAGCTGTGATTAGAACTGAGATGGCCTCCTGTTTAGTGTTTATTTGTATTTTTTAAAATCAATATTCTAATAGTCAATTAATTAATTAATTAATTTGCAGTATTCTTTGCTTTTGCTCCAGAATGCTCTCTTCACTCACAGGAAAACATGCCAGGCAGCCGAGGCACACACAGACAGAAGTGTCAGTGTTTGCTTGAAGCAAAGTTGGGTTTCCAGCCCCTTGTTTCCTCAGACCTCCTCTGCCTCCCCAAAGCTGTCTTCGGGGGGGTACCACTTGGATGTCCATTTAGTCTGCTCAAAGTCAAGGTTATCTGAACACAAATTCATTTATCTTTCCCTAAAACAGTTCATCTTGAGCAAATTAACAGTCCGTCCAAAAACCCGGTTGTCATCCTTCCTAACGCCCCCAACAGTCACTCATTCACCAAGTGATCAATATTTTTATCTCCTAACTATGAGTTGAGCCCACCCACTTCTGTTTGTCCCCTTACTTTCCTTCAGTTCCGCTGTGTGACGTTCACATGTAACTGGGCAGCCTGCCCAGTTTTACCTGGCGCCCCTGAGAGTGGAGGGTTTGTCAGCATTGACTTTCACACCTTGACTGGGGACCTTGTGACAGGCACTGCATCTGCCTGTCCGTGTCCATGTCTCCTTTCTTCTTGGCTAACACAATTCCAGTTTTGTTCAAGGCAGTGACGTGCCCTAGAACGGGCAGGATATTTGTTTTCCTGGTCTCCTTGCAGCAAGGGTGGCCGCGTGACAGTTCTGGCTGGTGAAACCAAAGCGGACATCCATTAGTAGTTGCAGAAATGCTTTTCCCATAATTGGGAAAGACACAGCTGGTGCTCCTTTTCTCCCGCCTTGAAGGAGGAAATGATCATTTGGAGCTGGAATAGTTCTCCAGTGACCAGCAGGGGACAAGGATGAGGGAAAGTTTAAAAAGAACCCCAGAGGCAGGAGCCTTGAACCAAGGCCAGTAGCTGCCTACCTTTAGGCATCTTGTGCTGTGAGAAATAAAAACCAATAGTTTCAAAAGCAATGCGAGGCAAACTTTACTTGTCGCTGAGTGCTTTCCTGGCCCATCTCTGATGCACTCGATCCCTCCCTTTCTGTCTGCTCTGGAAATACGCTAGCCGGACTCCTTCGGTAGCACCTCAGTGCTGCCTATTCGCCGCGTTACAGCCGTGTCCTCCCTCTGCCTGCCGTGGCGGCCGGCTGTACACAGCCTTTCAGCAACACCTCCCCTTCCTGTGGCCACTGACATTGTGGGAGGCGGGGAGAGGGAGGACGCGGCCCTTCACAGCATCTCGTTGCTGCTTCTCCATCCTCTCCTTTCTATCTCGACCAGAGGGCAGAAGCTAAAATAGGTTATTTCTTCTCTCTTCCCCATTTCAAATATTTTGTTTGTTTCATACAAGATGGTGGCTTTTTGGGCTTTTGGCCTAGGAATTTGGTTTCCTTATTTCCTCTGTGGACCAGTTCTCTAGCAGTAGGGGCCCTGCCTCGGCTGCCAGATGGGGGAGGGCTGCAGTCCATCTGGAACAGTCCTCCCAGAGTTTTCTCCAATGCAGCCTCCTCGAGTCATGTGCCTGACTCAGTCTCCTCAATGGCTCCCTCGCTCCCAGCCTGGAGCCCAGACTTCTTACCCTGACGCTGGGGTCTCATCATGATCTGGGTCCTGCCTTTTCGAAAACTGTCCTCTTTTGCCACCCTCCTCTTCACCACTTTTTATGTGCTTTGTTGTACAGCTAAGCTGATCCGCTGAGTAAGGAACTCTCTGCAGATGGGTCCTGAGCATTGTTTTTTTATTTGTTTTTTAAACTCTGGGTGATGCTGTGGCATGGCTGGGGGTTGAGAACCAGTAGAGGAGGGCTTGACATTTCAGATCATTTTCAGAGATGTAACTTCATTTGTTCTTAGAAGAATCCTGCGATGTAGGCAGGGCATACACTAATATACACATTTCACAGATGAGAAGAAATGAGGTCCAGGGAGATCTTGTAGAACTGGGTGTTCTGGTTCAGCTCTTCGGTGTTTTAACTAATTCTAGGCTGGTTCCACTGCACACGGGAGTTTTTATGGCAAGTAGTATCAAATCAAGCCAGTTGTTCTAAACATTTAATTATCTCCTATTTTGAAAAAGAATGTAAAATAATTAATGTAAAGCTATATCATTTGACCTTTAATTTCCTGTTTAGTGAAATAATACCCACAACACACACAGTTGTTATTCCATAACCCTATTTCCTGTATGGCAATTTTCATCATCTGAAATTATTTATGATTTTTTTAACATATTTGTTGGTTGTATTCTCTCCTGAGAATAAAAACTTACTCCAGAACATCGAACCTATTGGCCTAGAACAGTGCCTGGCACTGAGAATGAAACTCACTAGCCATTGTTTGAATAAATAAATTGAATATTCATTTGTCAACTTGTCTTCTTGTATATGATTTATTATTAAGTCTGTAGTGACATATTAACCTAATAAATCATTAATGTAATCCTAACTTAAAATAATTTAAAATTCTATTTAGTAATAAATTTCAGTAAACATATTCTGTATGAATGAATGAATGAGTGAATGAATGCACCTCCATAACATACAGTGAAATCACTTACTATAGAGTGCATTGCTTTGCTATTAAGTGACATGTTTAATTTTTGCTTGGCTTATGTTGGTTTTGTTTTGGTGACAGCCTAACAAATATATCAAGAAATTTTTGGATATTGTCAATTGCTATGGCCTGAATTTTTTGTCCCCCCAAATTCTTATGTTAAAATCCTAACCCCTGAAAGTGTTAGTAAGCGGAGCCTTTGGGAGGCACTTAGGCTCTGAGTGGAGTCCTCACGAATGGGATTAGTACCTTGTACAAGAGGCTCCAGAGAGGTCCCTAGCCTCTCCCACTTTGCAGACTCAAGAGCTCCAGGGCGCCGGTGGGGAACCAAGAAGAGGGCCACATCAGAAGGTGACCACACTGATGCCTTCATCTTGAACTTCTAGTCTCCAAAAGTATGAGCAGTCGATTTCTTTTGTAAATAAGCTACTCGGTAGTATTTTGTTACAGCCACTCAAACAGACTAAGACATCAGTCAGCTAGCTTGTTTGTCCTTATCAAGGGGAGCTCAGCTCTAGAACTGATATATTTATAACACAGTTTCATTAAAACTACTGTATTAGCTCCCGGCATCCTTCATTAAACTGAAGTTGTTCAAGTGTAAGTGTTTGAGGCAAAGATAGTTTTCAGTGCTTTCACTGGGGGAAAAAAAAGGCAGCACGATTCAACCTTTACTTATTATAGGATGAAAAACACTGCACAGATTTCAAGCACTAAAATAACGCCTGGAGTGTTCTGACTCTATTGCCAGTTACCAGAACTCGTACAAGAAGAACGTGTGCGTGGACATGCTACGAGACGGCTACCACGAGTCCTTCACCCAGCTCTTCGCTCTGATGGAGAAGTGGGACTCCCTCAGGGAGGCGGCCAGGGCCAGGTCCCTCCTCTGGTCACAGAGGCCCCTGGAGGAGCAGCCCGACAAGCTGGACCACTTCTACCACTACCTGACCAGGGCCGAGGTGGCGGAGCGCAAAGGCAAGTGGCGGGAAGATTCCCCATTGTTTCATGGGTGAATTTACACGTTAAGACAACTTAGCACAGCTCAACCTAGTCAACTGAGCATCCTCAGGGAAGGAATGACAGGGATGCTGAGTCACTGGGCTGCGCCAGACACAGGGGCGCCCTGGGGGGTTCATTCTGAAGCAGGGGGAAGAAGGACTAGCACACCACAACATCTCCATAACTTTCCAATGTGTCGCAATCTTCTGAATCGTTAATTATAAATCTTTCCAATGTTTTTCTTTATATTATGGTCTGAATATTGACTTTCCCCAAGGAGAAACATTCAAAGAGCACTACAATTTGAAGATTACACTGATTTTCTAGTATTTATATAATAGAGCTTGAAGGTCTCACCAATAAGTCCTACAGATATCAATGAGAATTTTTATTAGTAAATAAAACATGAAAAGATACAATTCACAATTATGAATAAAATTGTTAATTTCAGGTAGTCCATCACATCATTTCTAACAAATTCCTCTTTTTAATCCTAATATTTTTCCTTAAAGTCACTAGTATTGAAGAAAATATTTTATTCTCTATTATAGTACCAATATTGTTGCCATACGTATTTTAGTTACATATTAGAAATTAGTCATCTTATAAAAGCAAAGACAGGAAGTCCTAGAATTTGACATAAAATTATTCTTTCCAACTTTTAGTGTGAAAAGATTATAGGGTTCAGAAGGAGAAGCTCAGACCTCAGCATAACAGTGTCTGTATTTCATTTCAGGCCTTTCTACAAGGACTTATTAGGCAACTTTTTGTTACTTAACGCTCCGATGGGGAAAATTGATGGGTAGCAGAAGTCTTTCAGCCTCTGTAGTACAGTCAATATGACCTGACTGAGAAATATGAGATACACAAAAACCCTGCCATCACCACCATAAGCGAACAGGGTGTGTGTGTGTGTAGGTGTGTGTGTAGATAGGAGATGATTATTTGTATTATGAAAAGCATTTAATCGTAGGATTGACTTTAAAAATAGAGCACTTTGGTAAATTTTAAAAGGTGATTTACAAATAATTTCTCAAGAAATTAACTGTTGTAAATAAAAATGCTGTTGTAAAAAACCTGTATACTAATATCAGTCCCAAATTCTGAAGTGATACTTACACTGAAAATAGACTTGATCAAGATAAAATTTGCCCACCCAGTGGTCATTTTTTCAGTTTTCAGTGGTCAGTTGATGCATCATATTCACTAACTGCTTTAAAGAGAGGCTTTCATTTGAGTAGAATAATCATAGCCAAATGGATCACTTTGTAAAGTGTCATAAATATGAGAAACTTATTATAAAGCATTTTGTAATTATAAAGAAACTAAAATGCTAAATAGTCTATTTTAATGTACAAATAATTTTAATTTATACTTCTGTTAAAGTAACAATACATATAAAAATGTTTCCCCAATTTCAAAAATGAACAGAGTCCAAATTTTATAATACTGAATGTCTTATACATGTGGTATAAGTTATGAAAATATTTTCTTTACCGAGTGGTTTTATTATATATTCATGGTAACCAAGTTTGCACTTGTTAAATGGAACAAAATTACCTTTTGCTCAAAATCACTCTTCTGTAGAGTTATCTTTTTCAAAATGCAGTGGCTTTTGCTTGTTCAAACTAGTAAAAGTATTAAAATAAATATTATTGGAAATATTTCAGTTGAAGGATATATAAACATTTGTATGTTTTCTTTTAATTTTTACTTTTTACACATGTAACACATGACCTTTGTTGGGAGAAAATTGTTACTGGAGTTAAGACTGTACCAGGAAATGGGCAGGGGTACATTCACTCTTATTAATGTGTATGACTCCTAAATCTTAAAACACGCACGTGCACATGCGCACGCACACACACACACTTTTTCCAATATATAGAAATCTGTTAAAGTATCTCAATACTCCATCCCATGTGGCTGTGGGGCCTGAGACAGTCATCCTGAAGGAGCGCGTCGCTGAGCATTCTCATTCCTTCTCATTGGAAAGACCATCACTCTAGAGTCACTGTAAAGTTCGTTTCGTCAAAGCTGTGGCACTAACGAGAGTCGTCTCGGGTCAGTTCTGTCTCGTGAGACCTACAGAGCAAGAACCTAGACTTACTTAAATTATTTTACAAAGCATCATGTTCTGTTTTATAGCTAAGAAGTGTTTAAAGTCAGTCAGCCATTGCTTTTTGGATTATTTTCCATTTGTTAAGTGTTTCTTTGTCCCTGGTAATATTTCTTATATGACCCATTGTTGTAAATAATCTCTGTACCATCTGTGACGTTATGATTAGGGCCTTGTGCCCCATGGGGCTAGAGAGGAGATGACAACAATGGTAATGGCAACTGAATCGATAGATACTTCAAACATTATTTGCACTTGACTTTAAATTATTGTCAAGGGTTAAGCAGCAATTATTTTGTCTGGTAACATTTACTTAAGATACTCAAGATGTAGTCTATGGAAGCATCATCCCCAGGATGTTTATAGGTTTCAGTAAAGCAAAACAAAAAATAATTGTCTGATGAAATAAGTTTGAGAAGCACTATGTGGATTAACACTAACGTTAAGCAGGTTGTTTTATTGTAGGACTTATCGGAGCCTTTAACATGCCGATATTTATCGTGGTTCACTAAGAGAGGGAAATTAACAAGAGCATTATCCTAATTTATTTTTATCATGGAGTCTCCTTTTTAGGTAGCATCATAAATACTGACCTAAATAATAAACCAACACTGAACTTGATTTTTATCTTATAAACATACCTGCTCAAAACTCAAGGAGGGATTAGAGTCTGCTTATAATGGAAAAGTATGGGTCATACATTTGGATTGCACAAAGATTAAAAACTTGAATATATTCCTTTATACTTAGTACTCTGAAAAACCTCCATTTTTTCATAGAAAAATAGCTTAGCTGACAACCAATCTTTACATATGCAGTCTTGATAGCTCATATAACTCATTCTAAAGAAAAAAACAAAACTTCATTTATGATGTTTTTCATCATAAATGAAAAAAACAAAACTTCATTTAAATGTTTTTCTATTAAGATTTAATTACTGAAAAAAATTATTTCAGCATTGCATATATTTTTAAAAGCTCTTTATATAACTTTTTAAAATGACAGATATGAAGTATTCTATTTACAGCCCTTAAAAAATAATTTCCTGACACTAAATGTGACAAAGAACATAAAATATTACATTGCAGACTTGAGTGCTCTATTGGCATTAAGTCGAAGATTCAGAATGGAAGGAAAAGCACAGGAAAAGTCAGTTCTGAGATGAGAGTATTTGTTTTTTTAAGTAAATAACTTAGGTTGTTCTCTGCGTTTCACCTGGGCTGTTGCAAAATGATGCTCCAGAGTTCCCAGCTCCTTCAAAAATAGAGTGACGGGGAGAAGTTTTTTTTTGTTTCACTTTAAATCTTAATTTCCTGTGGAATTAGGAAGCCATATATGAAAAAGAATGACACAGGCTTTAGAAATTTCTCTTGAAACGTTGGAGTGACTTACGCACAGTTTTTCAAAGTTACCCTTTGTTGTAGTCAGCCTAGTTTCAATTTTTCTAAGAGTTTCAATTTTACTCTTACAGGAATGGTAGTGAGCAATGCATAAATATTTTTCATAATTGTAATCCTTTCAGGAACATATCAGTGAATAATAATGACTTATGAAAAAATCCTTGGAAAGGTAATCCAGAGGCTACCACATATTCACAACTGTGCTTCCAGCACAAATGCAGAAAGACATAAGGATTATGAATTTGTTCCCATTCACCAACAGAATGGAGTTTACAGGACTGAGACACAATTTATTAACATGATGTTTTTGTTCAAGTTTATGATTGATGGCAGCAGGATTCATAAGACTGAATCACAATGCATTAATACACTTTTTTAGTACAAATAGGTCAGATGCTACTTCAGGGGAAAGGGGAGCTTTAATACACGAACAACTAATAAACTAGTAACTGTCTGAGTGAGAGGGATGACTAGTATTAATGCATTTGCAGCAGGAAAAGGTACTCAGAGAAAACAAACGCATAGAAATTCACTCCTCAGCATTGCCAGTAACTTGTATGGCTAGAAGCATTGCTAGGAAGTGTATGGAGCTTATAGGCATGCCTCATTACCTTGTATCTCATGATACAAGGAGTCTCATGGCTGTTTTTCTTCTGCGTGCAAAACCTTGCTATTTTCATATTCTATCTCTCTCTTTCTTTGCATCACCTGTTTTGCCACACTTAAGAAACATTGCTTCTTCTGGAATCTCTAAATAGTTTTTAATGTTTTGATATTTGTTAATAACCAGATACTCATTTCTTTCTAAAGCACTGAGTACATTGCTGGTAGATATTGTTGTCTTTTGTCTTATATAAAGGCTAGAGCTTCAACCAAAGAGTATGTCTTTCTAACATGTCCTAATGTTAGATTCAAAAATCTTTTTTTGGAAAGATTTTTTTGTTGTTTTTCTCATGGGTACATTGTTTAATGAATATAACTATTTTAATAGTTAATATACGTTAATTTTTGCATTTCGATTTTTAAAATAGTTAATCATGTTTTAAGGACAAATAGAAAATAAATGTCAGTATATTGGTTTGCCATTTGAAGGGCTGTGCCATGAGACATTTTTCTAATTCCAATTTTCTAACTTCTAAGTGTATTATGTTTTTCTCTCTTTGAAGGATACTTTGAAGATGTCTATAATAACTTGTATGCTCTGGCCTGTTACTTCAATAATCCTGAAGACAAGTGGGTTAGGAACCACTTCTACGAACGATGTTTTCAGATTGCTCAACTGATCAAAATCGACGGCGGGAAGAAAGAAGCCGAGGCGTACGGGCACATGGGACTCCTGTTCGAGGAAGACGGTGAGTGGCCGTTTGCCCGGCTGCCTCGCGTTCCTTGAAAGGTCAGAGTCCGGGCAAGAAGAAAGCACGTGGGAGTTGAGAAAAAAGCTTTAGTATTAAATTATAAGTCACTGGAATTAAAGAGCAAAGGGGTGTGGCTTCCGGGCTCACCTTCAGCGTTGCAGAGTCCCACCCCTGCCCAGCGCCCAGCCTGGCGTCCGCTCCTGCGGCAGCGCAGAGGGGCAGCCCCAGCCCAGCGCCCTCCAGTGCTCTGCCTTCACACACACGCCGCACCGTCTGAACTGTCTGCCTTCCTTAGAGCCCTCTGTGTTCATTTTAACTTGATTTCTCATGCATGAAAACAGGGGGAAAAAGGAGCGCTGTGTGACTTCCTGAGTGCCCATGTCCCCTATATAAAGACCAAAACAATTCTGTATAACTCATACCACCCCATTGTGACTGTATAATACTTTCTGAAGGAAATGTTCCTCTAAAAATAACTTAATAGCTAATAATGTTATCTTAAGGCAAGCCGAAGTCGAAAACAACACTACCAAAAAATAATCAGAAGCATATTTTGTATGGTGGCTTTAGGTCGGCATGGAGAAATTTAAGAATGAAAATTATTTAAGTAAGGATAGCGGGTAGAATATATATGTGAAGACAAAAATACAATATTTTATCACGAATGATCCTATTCTTTCTTCAAAAAGTTATCTCAATTTCCACAAAAGTTTTGACTTTGCCAAAACAATTAAATTAGAAACTTCTTAGTGTTTTGTGGCTAGGACTATGTAGGACTTTGAGAAAGGGGAAGAAGAGGGTTTTGTGCATCAGGAAATTGCACACTGTAGCTTATAGCAGGTGCTAGAACATGGCAGATGGCTGGGGTCATCTCTAGGGATGGATGCAGGAAGCAGAAAAGTTCAAAAAGTGCAGAGAAGTGAGCGCCCGTACAGATTAGATTCAAGGAAGGAGGAGGAGTGATGGAATCAGTGGGGACGCGTCGGGGACCGGAAGGTAGGTATCATTTAGGAAGGTAAAGACACAGGAGTCTATTCTGTAAGAGGGAACGGTGTAAACTAAAGGATTAGAGGAACTGATAGGAGGAGCAAACTGTCTCAAGTGGAAAACACATTCCTGGGCAGCAATGGGGCCCAAGAGCCCAAAAGCAAAGTGGTGACATGCCAGCCTGCAGAGTTTTGGCTCAAGCTTACACACACTCCGGGGAGGGAAAGGAGGGCCGCACAGTGCTCGTCCGGCTGGGGCGCAGCCTGTGGGAGGAGGAAACAGAGGAAGGGGGCTGGTTAGGAAGCTGCCGCACTAACTTAGCCCCGAAGGAAATGTCGAAAAGTATTTAAGAGAATGCATTTAAGCCTGTCCATTGCAGTATTGTTTATATCTCAAGATAGTGTATTCGTTAAATATAGTGAACAACATCTTTGTGTCAGAATTCTGTGCAGTCATGGAATTACAAATTAGAGCAAAAATCATTCATTTGTCCATTCAACAAGTATTGGTTTAGCACCTAGTGCCAGGGGATAAGTAAACAAGGCAGACAAATCCTTGCCCTCACGGCACTCACACTCTACTGGGAAAAACTGGCCTTGACCACTAATAATATATTAGGGAGTGGTAAGTATATTATGGTGAAAAATAAAACAGGGCAAAGAGAGGGACGGGGCTGCTACTTTCTACAGGGTGTTCACCTGTTAGAAGGGGAGACAGGAATGAAGAGCAGGAGTGAGCCTTGTGAAAGTCTGGAAGAAAAGGTCCTACCGGGAGGACATTGTAAGTGCAAAGGCCCTGAAGCAAGTGCGTGCTGAGCAAGAAGGCCGGTGTCTGGAGCCCAGAGGGTCAGGCGGGAAGTGGAAAGAGAGGAGCTGAGGTTAGGGCAGGCGACTCAGGATCACGTTGGCACTTTTAGGACAAGGTGAGGACTTTGGATTTTATTCTAAATTGATAGGAAACTCCAAAGACATACTGATTTGAGAAAATGTCCATGATATATTAAGTAGAAAAATAAGACACAAATGCAGTATAAGATATAATTATATTTGATTTGTACCACACACCATGTTAACAGTGGTTATTTTTATATGTGGGGATCGTAGATGATTATAAAATTACGCACTAAGGAGATATTACTTACTGTAAGTAATATAAGGAGTGCCTGCTAATTTGAGAAGTTTTTTTTTTAACTTTTAGCCTATTGTTAAAAGTAGAGTTTTGTTTTTACATTTGTAAAAATGGAGTAAGTTCCTTACTTAAATAAAGTAAAATTCTTGCTTAAGCTTTTAAAAATTACTAGTCCCATTTCACAGGAGAGGTAAATACTTTTTTAAGCTTTTAAAAGGGATCTTCATTTTGAGAGTGTGGAAACTGACACACAAAGAGGTTAAACTGGTTATTGGTGGAGCTGGTATTAACTAGTCAACTAGCTTCAGAGCCTGTACTAGTAGCCACTGCTCTAGGCAAACAAAGAATTGCTTTACTTTAATGATGAGCCAGTTATTAAAATCCCTGAAAATCATATACTGAAATATAACTCAGTGCTTTTTGCTCTCTGCTATAGGAAACCCCCAACTGAATAAAATAAAAATTGTTTTTGTTTCCTTTTTATAATTTAAGGCATCCAATTCTTTCTTACGATAACAAATCATATATAATCAAACTGTCAATTACGGGTCCCAAAAAAGAAGTCACAAAAGACATAAGAAATAATAGCAGAAAATAAGGGCTGAAGAAGTCAGGGCTACACTGAGGAAAATTGGAAATTGTGGTCCCAGTGAGATGCAGAGACCTGTCAATAAGTATCTTCTAAATGCTTCTAAAAGTTTTATTTCTCATTTTTAATATTTGGTTTGATTTCTTAAATTTCTTCTACTGTGGTAAAAAAAGGTATACAATACATTTTTCCATCTTCACTCTTTCTAACTGCACAGTTTAGTGGTGTGGAGTATATTCACCCTGCTGTACCACTGGTCTACAGAAGTTTTTCATCTTGCAAAATTGAAAGTCAACATTTATTAAACAATAACTCCTGATTTTTTGTTCTGATTTTTAAAAAATTTCTCACTGTATTTCTATTGGAGTATTTATTCATTGCTTCACACATTCATTTATCCATCCATATACTCATTCAAAAAATATTGGAGTGCCTGCTAATTTTATGACTGACAACCATGGCACCACGCTGCCCACAGCATTTTAGTGGCTGGGAGTGAGGATGAGTTTGGGGAATGTGGTCAGGGCGGGGCTGCTGTGGAGCAGCTCCTTAGCTTGTTCACATTGAGATGCCCCCCTATTGCACACTAAAATGCCCCCTTATTCCATAGTAAGTGGAATGTTTTAACTATGAAATCATTTTTCAGTTAGTCTGTGTTGTTTTGTTTTGCAACTACTGTTTGTCAGATCTGAAGTTCTTTTCTATGGCCTTAATCAGTTCAGAGGTGCTGAGAACCATGCTTTTATTGCCTGATGGATAAAGTGACTGGTTTGGTTTGGTGAAAATTCTGGAGACCGCTTTTGAGTGTTTGATGTACCCAGCAATGGTGAATCTTATCTGTGTAGCTTTTATAATCTGGGGTAGCATTTCCATGAGGACGGTAAGCTGGGACTGTCAAGAATAAGTGGCTAGAGTGGACTGGGGACTCACCTGGCCGTGGGAGTCCCCCTGAGGTGACGGCGCCGTGGCTTCCGCACATCTGATCAGATTGGTCTAGACAAGCTAATGGAGACCCCACAGCAACAGCTAGGTGGCAGCTGTGCTCAGGGGCAGGTGGCAGCATCCTGATTCCAGGGGTGCCCATTCAGGTTAAAGCAGGATACCAGCCGGCAGATGGCAAAGGCAGGTTGTCAGGCCCAACCGAGCAGGCTGTAGGCCAGGGCATGGCTCCAGCTCCCTCAGGGCAGTACAGAGCAAATGAACTTGAGCAGAAGCCACACTCACGGGGACCGGGCACCTGAGTGCAGTCAGGGCCAACGTGCAGCCCACAGGCACATATGTGACCAGAGCCTCACTCCGAGCCCCCCGGCCAGAGTCAAGAAGAGCAGACAGGTTCTACTCCCCGCTTCTGTTAAAGATGGGGTCTCCTCTACACTATGGCCTGGTGGCCACTGGCTCAAGGGCTGGCATCTCCTTCATCAGGCCAAATGTGTTGACGATAGCCTGGTGACAGACTTGGTGTAGTGATGGACTGGTAAACACTTGTAGCAAATCAGTGGCTGTATCTTCAGTCACAGTTGTGACCTATTTGTAAGGATTGTATCATGCAAACAGGACAAATGGTTATTGGAGAAAGCTCTCGGACACTGGATCTATAGGAGCTATAGACCCCATTCAGAGATCTAACAGGGCCAGATGTCAGACCCTGGGACGGAGAGGGCTTTTTAAAAGTTATGATTAGGAAAGCACTGGCTCTTCCCCTGGCGTGACCTGGGGCCATGGCAATAAGAACGTGAAGTGTGGCAGAACCTTAACTTCAGTCCTTCCCTGCCAGGTTAGCATTGGTGGTGGGTGTAGCACCCACCCTTTCCCTGCTGTGTCATCAAGGGCCTGGGGTCCAAACCTTTGCAGCTTTATTGAGGCCTGCAAGCTAGTGCAGTGTTGACCTCATCAGCATTTATAGTTGTGCAAATATCTGAACTTTTCCTTCTTCCCCTTCCAATGATTTAGAATCTGGCTCCAAACCTTGCTTTGATCAACTCAGTGGACTTAGTGCTAAGGACCAGCTGGTTTCCATGGAGCCTTGCAGAAAGCCCGTCTCTTTTCTGGGAGGCTAGCCTGGAGGGGCCTCAGTCGTGGACAAGCTGACCCTTAATTTCTGTCTGCTTTTTGTCCTGTCACTCCTCCTCCACTTCCAGTGGGTGGCTTCTAAGTGTTCTCTTTCGCTCTGGTAGCAACCTGTTCTATTTCGACCCATATGAGCTTCGAGTCTAGACTTGCCTGTGCGAGACCAGGAGGATGATTAGAAATAGATGCTGTGTGACGGCCCCGGGGTGCTGACCATGGCCGCCAC